TACATTAAGAGTCTAAGTGCTGGGTTATGGAATGGCTGTGAGTTGAGTATTCTGCACACACTGTATTACACAGTGGTAGCAGCAATAGAAACTCAGGTCAGATGGTGTGGTGAAGGAAGCAGGCGGGCAAGTCTTCACACAGTGCCACAGTGCCCTTCCTCTGCTGGTCCCTCCCACAGATCCTGCCTTGGGGTCCAGGGTGATGTGATTAATGAACGGGCATACACACATCATTCCGGAGATCTGGAGTAACCCTGCATAGAGTGAGCTCCTTCTACCCTGCTCCCAGTTCTCTGTATTTCAGGTGTACACTCATTCATTAAGTCAGGATCAGCAAACTGTGACCCTGGTTGGCTCTAAATCAGAGGTCTCAGTTCTGTCCCCGGGGATGCTGTTGGCAGACACACTTGTGCAGCCGGCGCGGTCTGTGAGAAGATGTGTTTGAGCTGGGCTCAAACTGAGTGCCCTATTCTTATGGTCCAAGCTACTCAGGAGGCTAAGACAGGAGAATCCTGTGAGCCCAGGAGTTTGAGATGAGCCTGGGCGACACAGCGAGACCATGTCATAAAAAGAAAAAGAGGAAGAAACAAGATCCCAATCTGAATACCTTTGTGGTGGCGTGTGGGTTTTCTCAGCCCTCCAGAGCCTATTTCTGTTGTCTTCCACTGTGCCTGTTCCCACCTCTCTGTTCTTCTGGAGCTGGCCCCAAGACTGAGTCTGCGGTCCCTCCATCTAGACACGAATGCTGACGATGCGCACTAAGCTAGTGAAGGTGTGAGAGACTCTTTTGGGATTCAAGTAGGCAAAGAATTGGATGCGGCAGATGTGTATGCAAGCCAAGTCAGGAGAGACTGAGTTAGTGGGAAGATCCGGCCTCAGTTACAGCCTGAATAGTTGGCTTTTATCAAGCAGTTGCTGTTTTGCTTGCTCTGTTGGACTACAGGTACTGAGGTTATGGGAGTCAGGGTCTGTTGGCCTCACAAAGAGCTAGTGTTGGGCTGAGAGAAAGAAGGGCAGAAAGGGGTGAAGAAGGCTGAGTTTCACTCTCTTCTCAGCAGCCTCCTCTCCTGGATGGCTGAGGTCATGGCTGGCCCTGAAGCCTTCCAACTCCTGTGGACTTGGAGGCACACAGGTCATTTTCCTTTCCAGTATACAGACTGCCAATACATAAGGCGCTACAGACCTAAGGGGCCCGGTGAGACTTGGTAAATTAGGAAAGGAAGACTCATCCCACTTTTATTGCATTTGGATTACCTGGTCGCCTAATTGTCTCTTAGCTCATACATTGAAATGATTACATCTCGGTTTTGTTAGCAATGATATGTACAAGGAGACCATCAGTGAAAGGTAACTCAATTACTTTCTGGGAAAAAAAAAATATTTAAAAAGTTTGTTTTTCTTAAATCAGAACCAAGTCCTTTGGATAATTTCAATCAGAAACAGAATGTTCGATTTGTGTGTGTGTGTGTGTGTGTGTGTGTGTGTGTGTGTGTGTGTGTGTGAGAGAGAGAGAGAGAGAGAGAGAGAGAGAGAGTGTTTCCCCCCATTCATTTTAGGAGCACTCATTCCAACGACTGCAAATTGTCTCCTCTTTTCCTGACATCTGTCCAATGGCTCCTGCTGATGAAATGGTGATTTCTTTAAAGAGTAATCTATTCAGAGTCACCTAGTGCTCAGTCACCCAGCTCCCACTCCCAGGCCAGACTCCCCACAGAAGGAGACAGTCACAGGAGGAGAGAGATTGCACATCCTGTCAGGGGACAGCTCCTTCATAATGACCTGCTGACATCTGCCTTGTCATAATGGGATCTTTTGCTTTCAACTCTGGTCTTGCATTTCCACCCTGTAGCTCTAAAGAATCCGAAAGGTGTCACAGGCACATGAACTCCTAGACCTTGGTAATGTCAAACGGCACTAGCTCACCAGGTCCAGGCCCCATGGCTATATAACCTAAAGTTGCTACTTTCATATTATTTATTCAAAACGTAAAAAGAGATTGATAAAACTCCCTAATAATTTGTTTTTAATTTTAAAAAAATTGAACATAATCCCTAGTGTAAGAAGCCCAACAATTGGAGTATGTTCCTCCTGGGTTCAAGCCTCACAGCAGGCAATAGTAAAACGTTAAATGCCTTAGAAAGTCAAAAGAGATCCATAAAGGCATGCGTACATTTTGTTGACACAAGATTAAGACTGGGTTTGGAGAAGGATTACTTCATTTAAGTCACATTGTTATTGTTAAAGATAGTGAGTTATAATGCAATATCTAGACCAAGTAGATAGCCTCCTACACACTAGCATCGCTCTGGAGAAATGACATAGTATTACTAAGTGAACATATTTATAAAATATTGTGCACTGCTTCTGCATTGGGTCAGCAGATGTAAACAAACAGCTAGCTCAACTGGAGCTTAAAATAGGAAGTTCGTTTGTCATATAGTCTTTTGCATAACATGCCAGTCTATGTTTCACAGAATCACAACTTGCCTGCCACACTCAAGGGGCTTGGCTAAGCATGTACACCAGCTTCTACCAATATTTTACAGTGATCTGAAGGAATGTGAAAAACATAAAACAGGTCAGGAACAAAAATACCCATTTCATGAGGATGCTGAATAACATGGAATGGGGAACATAATTAATCCTTGCAACATGTGCTTCTTTATTGAATGTTACAGATTTATAAATAATTATAAAGCTGTCCTGTAACGTTCATTAATACAACCACATGCTACAGCTATGCTGGGTTATACACAGGTTACATATATGTTAACATGTGTTTTATAATACAGCGTTGCCCAACACATCCTATGGCTTAGCCTATAGATACGCATGATGGATGACTGGATAATATTCTCTTTAAAGAAATTAAACAGCCCAGACATTCAGTAAGATTAGACTTTACAGCCTCAGAATAAAACAAAAACCATGAAAATCTATCCAGTTATCTACCATAATATTATCTATAGAAACCATATTTTAAGATACATTTGAAACATTCAGAAAAAAACACATCTTGTGTTTTTATGAGTACATTTTTTTCCACTTGATTATTCTTACACATATATTTTAAAAAGGTAACTTTCAAAGTACTAAATAATTTCCTGGTCCTGCAAGCTTAGACTTAAAAAAAAATCCAGTTCTGTAAAGTGCTGCGTTCAGATTGCTAATGTACCTTTTGGCCTGCAGAAATACACAAACTAGCTGTGACAACTGTATTCAAGCTTTCCAGCTCCCCACTTCAATCCATCAAGAAGGGGGGTTTGGAATATAAATATAAAGTATGTGGGTTAATCAGGAAACCTTCATGGTCATTTTCATAAAACAACCTTAATTTTTCCCCCCAAAGGAACAAGTAATTTAGAACAAATCATTACATATAGTAGTGTATAAAAATTGGCACCTCTGAAGCAGATGATTAAACCCAAGCCATTGCTTCCTTGAGCTTGCTATGACTTATTTATGGTCCTCACTAACTTGCTGCTCACGAGTTGCTTAATTCACAGAGACAGATAATTAAAATCTCCTCGATCAGGGACATGGTAGAATAAACGAGCTGAGCACAAGTTGACTGTACAAGGCCACAGAATCAATGCCACACTGGAGCATAGAGAACCCGAATGTAGAAGTGATGGGACTGAAGAACCACACGTGTATGTACACAGGAAAGAGACGGCTTGTGAGAGCTACACAGTTTGTGTCTAACGTTGTTGAAATTTGGCTTATGTAGTTCACACACTTCACCAAAGATGTTAGCACTTAATTTTCATGCATAACAAAAGAACCAGGTAGCCACAAGATCAGGACTGTTAGGTGTTTAGTTTCCCAGGTCATATTCTTTGCTCCCTGGAGACCCTGATTCTCATCGTGTCTCCCCAGTATGGTCCAGTATGAGGCACTGGAGGTACTTGGAGTCCTGCTCTATGGTCAAAGAAGAATTCTTTCATCTCCTCCTTAGATTGCTTTAGAGACTCTCTCAGAGAGCTTCAGCTTTGTGAGTGTGCTCGTTACTCAAAATTATCGAAGGTTAAGATCTAAGGACATTGAGCTAGCTACATCTAATCTAAGCAACGAAAATAACCGAAACTTGGTTCCAACTCCGGTGCTCAGACTTGACCTTCCTGAGAATCACAGGGAAATGGTCTTAAAAATATAAAGTGCCTAGTATGACCACACAGGTCAGGGATGCACATGGTTCCTTTCCCTCATTACCCAATCAAAATGGAAATGGGGCTCTCTGAAGTCTTTGACATTCTATTGCAATTACACTACACATGTATGTACATTTTGGGGTGAGGGGAAGCCTAGAGTTTTCATTGATCCTCACTGGGATTTATGACACAGGAAATTTAAGAGATGCCTGTTTTATTCACAGACTGAATGCCTATTGGTTAAGAAGGAAATTCACCAGTTTGGGGTCCAGTAAAGTAAAAGAGTCCCTAAAGAAAATATAAAACAAAAAATTTGTTTTTGTTTTGTTGTTTTGTTTTTGAGACAGGGTATTGCTATGCAGTCCAGGTTAGCCTTGAACTCACCATGTGGCCCAGGCTGCTCTTGAACTCATAATCCTCAAACCTCAGCCTCCTAAATGCTGGGATTATAGGTACCACCATGCCCATGAAGGGCTTAGAAGTTACTGAGTCACCTGAATTCCAAGGATTTAAAAGGAATTCTTCATTTATGTGAACTTGTTACTCTCTGTACTGAAAAGGTTGAGTAGGTTTTCTTTTCCCCCCAATATTGAAAGGCTAGAGGTTTTGTCAGTAAATTTACTTGATTTCACAAAATGAGATATAATTTGTTATTTATAATTGCCATTGAATAAAAGAACCAAGTAGTATCTTGGACAAGGGACCTCAACTCTTTTTTCTTTTCTTTTTTTCTTTTTTTTGGCAGAACCAGGGATTGAACTCAGATCTTTGCATTTGCCAGTCAAGCGCTTATCCTATTGAGCCACCTCCCCGGCCCCTCAACTCTTTTTTCTTACAGGTCTTTTTTTTTTTCATTTTCTGAAACTTCAGTGATCCAACTAGGAATTGGAATATGGGTATGGTGGGGTGTCAAGATTTCTTTATCCCAGTTCAAATCCAGATTGGGATCTAGAAGTTCATGCCTCTGTTTTAGAGTTCATAGTACTATCAGCTATAGAACCGTGTCTCTGTTCAGATTGCACAAGTCATAGTATAGCTTTGTGTAGTAGAAACTGGAATAAAAGAGATAGACAGTAAGTGATTTGGGTCAAAAGGTGCCATGGACAGGTAGTGAGTTATTTTGATAACTTTTGTTTGGTTCAAGGAAAAGTTAAAGTGATAGATTTTAAAAATCATAAATTCAACATTTGGTCTTATACTATAATGAATTCTTTCAATGGAACTTCATAGATATTAAAAAATCATGGCACTATCTCCAGGAGATAGAAAAGTATGAGCCTCTTAGGAAAGCTCTCCATGTCTGTTTATATACTATATATAAACATGTGTCTCTCTGTAAATGCATATATATGTATATAAGCAGCATATGCTATAGGACTCTATATGATTTATTTGCCTTCTATTTTGGCCTACTGTATCTTCTTTTTAATAGCTCTGTATGTAAGAAAAATATTCATGGTATGCCTGCAACTGATGGCTTTGGGTTGATACCAAATTCCCAGTCAATTCTAAGGTTATTTATGGTTTTGAAAACTTCCTTAAAAAGTACTTTGGAGCATTTCCATAGAAAAGATACCAGCCCTTGAAAAACTCCAATTAAATTTATGTTGAGCTCAGATTAGATGGCAAAACTCTAGGTATGAAAATATTCACATATTCATATACAAAATGGTCATGTGATGGGAGTGTGGGAAATTGGGTTACATCTTGGGGATGTTCAGAGGACATGGTGGGGTCATGCAAAATGGTGGCGGTCACACAGCAGCAGGACACATGACATGGATGGTGAGAAGACAGCGACAGCCCGTATGGCAACTTCAGGGTAATTCCACCCACTGGGTTTCTTTTCTAAGATCAACCTCACATACTCAATGAGTGAATTCACGGATGACAGGTGAGATATAAAATAAATTTAAAAATATAAAATTATTTAATTACATTCATCCTGAGCTTGCTCGACTATACTCGAATGCCCGCTGTATACAGTAAGTCACGTGACTTTTGTTTTTAACATCAACTCTTCTTTCATTTTGATTACAAGACAATAAAGGCATTTCTGTTCCCTTATTTTCTCCAAAAAAGATAAAACACTTGTGGCACCAGAAGTGAATATATAAGAGACAGGCGAACTATGACTGTTACCTTGTTTTTCTTTATAATGACCAATTACAGAGGTGGTGGCCTGAGAAGGTTGTGGGACGTTAGGTAGAACTGCTTGCTGCCGGCTTTATACTGAATAAAAAGGATGCTCTTCATCAGTCACCAGTGATGGAGCCAATGCGAAAAGAAAACAGAATTGAAGTTTAGAATATCTCATCTTGTATGCTGGCGATTGTATCTCATTTTGCAATTCAGCCCTGCCACCTAAGACTTGATAATGAGTGGAAATCACAAGACGCCTCCTGGGATGGAGAGAGCCCCATTGGCGCCCCAGCTCATGGCTTCCTGCAGAGCCTGGCGATACACATTCATCTCTAACCTTCTGCTCCCCCTCTGTCCTCCCCTCCCTACCCAGCAACACCAACGTGCCTCAACTCCCCTTCGTTTGGCACTGGGTCAGATCAAATACTTTCTTGATCTGTGGCCCCAAAGTCACCACTGTGTTAATATCTCCCAAAGCATTATGTGTTTTGCTGAGCTAAGAATAAAGTGGGTATGGTTTGAGGAAGCGGGTGGGGGGGAAAGGTGTGAGTTTAGGGGAAATTGTTGGGCAGGATTCTCAAGCCTTCTGCAATGCAGAGTAAGAAGGTTTAGTTGTGCTTGCTTTCAAAGCTGTGGAAAGCCGACATCCTGGACAGTCTCCTCATGGACAGGCTGTCCCCTCGGCCCTCTGGCTTGGAGGACTTACTCCTCTGGAAGGGATTTCGTAGGCTTGCTGTGTTCCGCTGCCTGTCGAGTTTGTCACTGATGGAGAGGCTCTTTCTGGTGTGCGCATGTGGTGCGCTGGGCTCCTCTGCCGAGTAGCTGTTGGCGCGCTCTATCTTCGGAACTGTGATGTTGTTGGTCAGGGTTCTGTCGGAGCTGCCCCCTTCCTGTGAGGATATTGCGATAGTGGCTCTCCGGCCTCTGGCCTCATTCTCCTCGCTGTCAGAGCCAGGGTGACTCAGTTCTGCCTCTCGTTCAGGATAGCAGCAGGATAAATCCTCCACTTTGTCTCCAAGCCCCCCGGGAAAGGTGGCCCTGTCAGCAATCACTTGAGGGGCATTGACACACCTTGTGTCAATGCAGTCTGTAATACTTGTGTATTCTGCTGTTTTCACGGGCACCCCAAAGTTGGCATAATAACTCCTTGAAGGAGAAAACATAAAGCTATGAGACTTCACAATAGGGGCCTCTTCTAAAAGGAAGGGCGTGGTGGCCAGGTAGCGGCTGCTCTTGGAGCGCTCAATGGCGTGATACGTTGGTGGGTCTGAGTCCCAGGGGTTTTGGCATTCTGGGAGGTGGGTGTAGTCTGACGAAAATGATCTAGTGTCCATGGAGGTAACATCTTCGAAGTCAATGCTCCGGCTCGGAGGCCTATCTGTGGGTGCGAGGGTTGCGTAGGCACTGCTAGAAGGGGCTGTGGAAGGTGCCAGCGTCGAGAAGCTTGGCTCGCCCAGCCCAAGGATGTTCATGGAATTGTCCAGGGGGTCGATATCACAGTGGAGCTCATCCATGGTGGAGACATAGATGTCAATGCATGAAGATGGCCTTCTGGAATCCGGAACAATGGCCAAGGTGTTTGTAGGTGCTGCAGGAGCTTTGGATTCTTTTGCTACTGAGTGGGAACTAGTAGCCCGGTGTAGGCTTAGGGACCTTTCTTTAAAAATACTCTCCAACTTTTCTATACCACCTTTGTCTTTCATATTGACTGAATAGAACGAGTGGCTTCGCATACGGGGCATTAAGGTTGGAGAAGTTGGGGACAAGGTCTCCTCACCTGCAGGGTCTATACTCTCTTGGAGCTTGAAGGTGTTCCCCTCCTGGCTGTTGAAGCTGCTCTGGCGGACAATGTAGGCGGCGTCTGTGCAGTCCGAGGAGGTCCTGGAGCGGATTTTGTTGGACTCGGCGCGCTCCAGGCCCGTCAGGCGCTCCAGAGCTGTGGCCATGCGTCCGATGAGGTCCTCGAGCTGTGCCAGCCGGATGTCCACGGTCTGGAGCGAGGCCTTCATGGAGTGCTCTCTCTCGTTGACTTCCTCCAGCCGCATGGACATGTTCTCCACTCTGTGTGAGAGGAAAGAGGAGTCACTAGGGAAGTGATGTCTGTGGGGGATTAGGGAGCAAAGAGGGTAAGTGTCACAGAGTACCCACACCATGGTGCCAGCACGGCTGCCATCCCACAGGGAGGCGGAGGGTCTCAGGTAACAGGAGGGCTGGGGAGAGTGCACTGATCCTTCATCAAGAATCACAGCATCCAAATCCTTGTGCGATGGAGGAGGCTGTAGAAAGAATCTAGTCAGTGGGTTTTCCTTTTTCTTTTAATTTTTATTTTGAGTCAGACTCTAGCTATGTTGTCTCTGCTGGTCTAAACTCCTTGACTCCTTTGAGGAGCTGGGACTACACATAGACGCACCACGCCTGGCACTTCCCAGTGGTTTTCAGCTTTCCATTTAGCATGCCCTCAGCTCTGGGTTCTGCTCCCTTTCAGAACTGAAGTGTAACAAAGAGCAGCATAGCTTTATTTTTCCTCCTGTTCTTTCTGGAGCTCAGCACATATAAGATTTATATTTGAAATAAAAAGGCGCTCATCTGGCGTGATTGTGTGTGATCACCAGCCCAAGCGCTGTGAAACATCTTCTGGCCATAGCTTCCTGGTGCCCTGTCCTCAGCCCCAGGACCCAGAGTCATAGAGAAAGCTATCAGGTGACAGGCTGTACAGGGGCACAAAGAACAGGCAGTGGAAGAGCAGGACCTGCCCTAGCAGTGAACTGGACACAGCTCAGATGCACAGGGACATGAGCATTCCAGGAAGAGGCTCTGCAGGGGAAGCCAAGGATGGAGACATGTGGTCCCCAGGAGTGAACTGGGCAGGGAGGCACAGGGCTCAGAACTATTGCTAACTCCCTATGGGCTCTGAGCTGGACAGGAGTGTCAGTCTTGCCAAGAACAGGGGTAAACTGGTTTATTTGGTACTCTTTTACCGAATTCTTGGTGTATTTAACCTCTAACCATCTAACTGCCTGGTCATGTGGCTCATGGACCTAACTAATAAGAAGAAATACAGAGTTATGCAAAAGAAAAGCTCTAGGGTCAAATTTATATATGCTTGTTCTATGACTAGGGTACTTCCTGTAATGTTTTAAATTTGTTTTATGAAAAATGAGGTGTAAATGGGTAGGCATCACACATATGAGTTGGTCTCAGGAGCCAGCCAAGAGCTCTGGGTCATGGTGGTAGCCACTTGGAGCTGATTCTGATCAAGCAACTGAGCAGATGAAATGAGACTTTAAGGATAAGAATTTGTGACTCGCTGGGAGTCCACAAGGAAATAGGTCCATAAAATGACACTTTCAGGAAAGAAAGAAACCAAGACAGAAAGATAGGTAAAAGCCATTGTGAAAAATAAGGTATTTATGGGAGAAAGTCTTCATGTAACTTCTCGTCTCTCACATTTGCAGACACTGAGCAGCTCATTTCAGAATAACTCAGGGGTGATCACAACAGGAGCCTGGAAGGAAGCGAGGTGGCAGGTGCCCCTGAGAGGGGAACAAGCCCTCCTTAGTGTTTCTGACTTCAAATCTTTGTACGGGGGTTGTCACACATTAAAATGGAATTATGCAATATTCAATATACAAAATGGAAAGCGCACAGTTGACTTAGATGAACCCCATTGTGTGCCTATCAAAGCGTATCTACATACAAGCACATGTGTGTACAGAGTGCTGTCACAGATTGTAAATAGGACTGGAGTTACCGCCTGCCACTCTGCTGAGAAGGCACCTGTCCTAGAGGACGCATAAGACAGGCGTGTGGGATCCGCTCAGCTCTTGGTCATGCTCTGTTTCCTCCTGGACCCCTGACCTCTGTTGTGTTGAGTACAGTTTCAGTGTTGCAAGATTTTATTTTTTTTTTCTTTTTGGTGGAACCAGGGATTGAACTCAGGTCCTTGCGCTTGCCAGGGAAGAGCTTATTCCACTGAGCCATTTCCCCGGCCCCAAGATGTTATTTTTTGATATGTTTACAAATGCAAAAATTCCCAAAACAATTACAATAAAACCTTAAAGATAACACAGATGTCAGGCACAGAAACAGGGAGACTAGGGTTTAGGAACCTGGGCCTGGTCACAAGGACATAACTGTTCCTGCAGGTCCCCATTCCTGTAGAGGGTCGTGCTGATGTCCAGGACTTGGCTGTGGGTCTGTGTTGTGCACCACTCACCTTGTCTACCCTGTTTGAGGACAGGGCTCTGTAATGAAGCCTTTCCCTCAGGAGGGAGTGGCTATAAGGGGTTACAGGAGGGAGGTGCACGCACACTTACAGGGTGTGCTGGGCTGGCAGCCTGGTGGTGTGCCAGAGCGCCTTCCCTCCAGGGTGCTCACAGGTAGGGGTGTCAGCTTCTCCCCCTGGTTGCAGAGAGGCCATGGCTTCTGGCGTCTTAGCAGTATTTTTCCTCTCCCTTTCTCTCCTACTGGGTATGTGGCTTTCCTGAATTCTAAAAGCACATCCAAGGCCCACAGACATCCGCTGTGGAAATCTGTGTGCACGCGGCCCAGGGCTCTGGGAGTCACTTGGCTGTGTATCCATCAGTAAATGGCTTTTCAAGGCCTTGGAGTGAGAGAGACCTTTAGGTTTACAGCTCCTTTCTGTTTGCCAGAAAATTCCTTCACTTTATATGATCAGAAAATTGTTCTATTTTGTAAGACCCTCTCTCAAAAAAAGCAAAAATAAAAAACTAGTTTCTAAATGCCGAGCTTTGGTATGTACTGGTCTGGAATGAACATTTTGAGTCTATAGCAAACAGAAAAATAAGAAAATGTTAGAGCTTTTACATGCACCTGGAGTTATCAGACTTAAAGGATTCCCTGCTTTTTATTTGGAGATTAAAGAAACAGCCCCACTGGTCCTCAAATCTATTTGGTCAATGGGATCTAAAAGTGCATATAACCATTGGTTAGAAAAAAACTTGCTTCTATTTTTTTTTTTTTTTTACCTTGTTCTATGAAAAGAAGAAACCTAATCAGCTTTGGAAGAAATAAGCTCTCAGTGTTATCCACCTCAACTTACAAGTCTCTTGTGGCTGCATTTTGAAAAATATGGAGCACCCAGATGAGTCAGGTACTAGGACATTCCTCGTCTGTTGGGCAAGATACTAAACATGAAACAGAAGCCTGCATGACAGCATCAAGTCAGGCTGGTCTCTCTTGTTCTGTGTTCCTGCTGGAACTTCCTAGTTTCTGGCTGGCCTTCCCGGTTTCTTCTGTCTCAGAGGGCAGCTGCTACAGCCTGCAGTGTCCGGATTCCCGTGCACAGACATGGGGTGAGGGTGATGTTGTGTTCCCCCAGAGGCTCCTGGATTTCTTGGACAGTGCAAGGAAACCCAAAAGGTCTCGTTTTGGGACCACAAAGCAAACTCAACTGGCCAAGCAGCCACAAACATACAGCTCCCTAAGGAGGCACTGGGGAACACACCTTTCGGAAGTCACACGGATCCTCTCATCGTTGGATGAGTTGAATCGATCATCCTTTTCTCTGAAATATTCTTCTATACATTGTTCTTCGAAATCGTGTACTTTTTTGAGTTCATCATCAGTTATGAAGAGTTCTGTGCAAAAAAGAAACAAGCAAAAGCGACAGCCATGAGACAGAGAAGTAACACTGGCGTCAGATTTATGGGCCTAATGATGTTCTTAATATACATCAAGGCCCAAGGCCAGGGAAGGAAGCCTAGATTTGAAGCCAAATAGAATCTAAACCCAAATAGGCCACTTGCATCAGAGAACTGCTTTGGAAAAACATCTAGGACAAGTGTTTCTCTAGTCCCGTGCGGTTGAAGCATCACAGAGATTGCTCTAAAGGTTTGGAGCCCTGAATCTGTGGCCCTTAGGGGATTCTTTTTTTCTCCAGAGATGGTTCTTGTTTGCTTTGAGTCCTTGGTTTGAGCTTGCTGGGGCATGGAAAATATGAGTGTAAAGCAGATGGGCGTGAGGAAAACACCAGGCCTCATCTCTAACACGGCTGTCTGTGAGGCAAGGGGGCATCATCAGGAGGGGGCACCTGAGCTTCAGTCCTAAAATCACAGAGAGAGGCCCTGGACAAGGACCCCAAGAATGGACTGCATTCTGCTGTCACAATATTTCAGATGGAAAACTGTGCCCTGAACACTTGCTCGCTTGGCCCTTTCACTTTGATTTCTTTAGCTGCATGCAATGCTCTTTTTATAAGAATATTCTTTTAAAATTTCCATCAATGCAACACATTTTACAATGTAACCTGAGTGCTTTTATCTGGAGCCATACAAGAAGCTGGTGGTGTCCTGGGATCGTCCCCTGATTAAGAAGAGTGGTGAAGGTCTCTTCCCGGCTCTTCGGGGTTTCTGATCTAGCCCCAGCTGTGTAACCCTCCTCTGCCAAGACCTCAGCCACTCTGCTGCTCAGCGCCCATGTCCAGACCCCAAGCGATGCTCTACTCTGTGCCATGGTGGGGGCAACCAGAAGGCCACGAGCCAGAGCTTTGCAGCTGGCTCCACCCACCGCAGTGGCTGGCTGCCACATTCTGTGGCCTGCAAAGAAATGGTCTCTGGATCACTCTGTGTTCCATGTTAGATCTCAGATCTTTCTTAAGTGCTCTGGAGGAAAGAGTTTCTTTCTAGCCCTGAAGCATCATGGGAAAGGCCTTGGGCCCTGAAGGTGTTACTCCTTACAGCCCTCCCATTCCTGATCTGTAGCCCAGGTGCTCCTGCTGCCTGGGGATCCTGGGTACAAAAGCCCAGAGTTTAAGTCCTCCGTTGTCCTCCATTAAGCTTTCTATGTACCTAGATTTGTGTTTCAGATGGAGACTGTGATTTTGGAAATCCCGGCTCTTTCCAACTCTCCCATTTTAATATTTAGAAAGACGGTGGGTGTCGCTAAGTCAGGGAGATTATTAAGAGATCCAGAGTTAGACAATCAGTACAGTGGCCTTTCTTGTGAACTTGAGATATACTGGGATCACGCGGAGGGAGGGAGACACCTGTGCCGCCATCCCGGAGGTGCTGGGAGTTAGTGTAGGTGGCCCACTTGCCACATTTTGAGAACCCTATTTGCAAAGGGCTGAGCTCTGGGTGTTGCTAACTGAGCATCGGCTGTCAGAGAGCATTTGCCGCATAACGTGCGGCAGCGGACAGGATATATTTCCTGCAGTATGGGCTACAGCATGACACAAAGGAAGCCCTCTGCCCCAGGGTCCGTAGAAGTACGGCTGCCTTTTCCAAGCACTGGTTGTGTCTAAGCACAGAGGATGGGGGATAGAGGATTTCCTGTTTCGTGTTTTGAGTAATGGAAAGTGAGTCTCAGTTATTTTTGAGGTCACATAGGTACAAACTTTAGGGCTTTGGAAGATGTTTATACCTGAAAAAAAATAAGAGCTCCAACAATGCTTATGGAAGACTGAACTTAGTTACTGAAATTCAGCTCACGTCACTGTGCTTAAAAATGACATACAAGGTAGATATAGTGGAGCCTGCCTGTGATCCCAGCTACTGGGGAGACTGAGGCGAGAGGCTCTCAAATTCACGGCCAACCTGGACAACTTAGCGAGGACCTGTCTAGCACTGCAAAAGCAAAAATAAATGATATAGACTGTAGCACTGGGTGTATGTTAATATGATTAATGTATTTTGTGGTAGAAGCCCTAGGAAATGAGATGCTTAGGACCTCTGAAGGTGCGGATATGCCCCTGCCTGGGACCATTTTTGTTTCATGAAGGAAGCAATGCAACTAAGAACACTGTATTTCAACATCTCCTGTCTTCCCCCAGCACCATGGTCCATGCCCCAAGGACCTGCTTAAGCTCCTCCCAAGTCTGAGGGCCCCTTCAGTCTGCAGGCTGCATTCTACGTGGTGCCTGGAGGAAGTGCTAGGGATTTCCAGTTGTGGTCACCAGGCTGTTCCCGGTAGTTTACTCACTCAGGCCATAGTCCCTCTCATCCGGGTCACTCTCATGTTTTCTCCAGCGGCAGCACAGGTGCTGGAAAATCATGGTCATGTGGCTGAAGATGATCAGCGGTGGGGGCAGGACAGGCCTTTCATGGAAAGTCATGATCAGCTGATACCTCTGAAACTTCCACACTTGGTTGGATATCGACTTTACCTCAAAAAATGTATTGCTGAAATGGACCAGAGAGAAGTAAGTGAGAAAATTCATTTCTTTTGGAAGCATTAGCACCTACCCCTCCCATTCTGCATCCACTCACTTGAAGACGGCAATGAGGAGGTTGACCAGCAGGATGTTTGCCACTAAGAGGTAGCAGGCCATGATGGCCGGGACAATCCAAGCTCCTGTCTTGCAGGGAGGCAGCTGGATGATCTTACCATCCTCCCGGGTCTCGTTTTGTCCACAGGGAGCTGGAGGAAGCAACATAGGTGAGAAATAAGATCTGGTGGCGACTTGAAACGTATGTGATTGATTTGAATGAAGGATTTAGATGGAAGAAAAACACAGCCAACTCAAACAGTATAAAGTTCCAAAAAGCCAAAATACAAAAATGAGAGCTCCATGAATATCCCAAAGGGCTGCCACTTCAGGAGATAGTGAATGAGTCCTGCTTGCTTCCCCAAGCTGGAAGAACCTGTCATTCCACTGTCCCTCAGCCCCTGATAGTGGTGATGGGCTCTTCTATGCCTTTTGATTCTCGGTGAGGGCTTTCCTGGGGAGGGGCAAGGAGCAGAGCCGTACTGCCCAGCAAGTTACTTTCAAAATGTGCTGTGGGGGCCAGCAGCACAGGAGCGCCAGCATCTTGGGGCTATTGATTGGGAATTAACAGTGGGGCAGCTGTTAATTGGCGCAAGAAACAGCCCAAGCCTTGGAGCTAATGATTTGTTGTCTCAGGACAGAAGGAGCAATGCCTTGGGAAGTGTTTCGAGGCTGCCTCTCCTGAGGACGGGGTTTCACCAGGAGGGTGTGGAGGGCAAAGGGTTGGGTTATGAAGCTCACAGCTGCTAGCTTTTTCTCCAGCAGCATTTTCATTCCCTGTGCCTTTCAGGGCATATGAAACCAAGGCTAACTGCAGTTAATAAAGGGACAAATGGGGGACACAAAAAATCTGGGGTTGGGGTGAGGAAAGTCACATGTAGGACAGCATCAGTGAGGACGTGAATTTTTTTTTTTTAATTTGATACAGACTCATAGTGATCCTTCTGTCTCAGCCTCCTCAGCATTGGGATTATAGGCACGCATTACCATGCCCAATTTAGGGCTGGCACAGTATGCCCGAAGTTCTGGGGCCAGCATGGTATGTGGTACTGGGGATTGAACTCAGGACCTTGTACTTAGACTGTCAAGCTATCTCCCCAGCTGAGAGCCTGAATATTGGGCCCACTTGGCATTCCCAGGTGTATGCCAGAAAATAAATAAATCCTTGACAATGCTGCCCAATGCTGAACAAGTGCTGCACTGCACGGTACTGTGGCCTTAGGACAGGTCCTCTTGCATCTGTGTGTGACAGGGAGCTGGGGTGAGAATGGGCAGGGGCACCAGTAGGTCTCAGCCATTGCCACAGGATGCCAGCAAGGTGGGCAGAGCTGACCCAGAACCTACTGGACTGGAGATCCTTGTAAGGGGGTGGGCGGTCTGGTCCCTTCTCCAGAGTCCCCGTGGCTGGGCCGTCCACCCACCCAGGGAACTTGAAAATACACCCATGCCCAGCTCTGCCCCAGACAACTGCCCTAGAATCTGAGGGGCCCAAGGCATCACCACTGCTTTCAAAATTTCTGAGGTGATTCTCAGTTGTTGCTAAAGTTGCTCCCACTGAGCTCCCACTGGAAGCTCAGGGAAAAGTACATGATTTCTGACACACTTTGAAGACCAAATTTTTCCTAAGACCTGCAAGATGGCCAAAGTGCTTCCTTTGGTTCTGCCTGCAAGACCATTGGATGTTGGAATAGGACGTTTTCTAGGAGCTGGAATCTCTGTTGTTGGTCGTCGTGGCCCTGACCACCCACAGCAGCCTTGTAAGAGGTCCTCATCATTTCCTGCCTTGAAAGGAGAACCCAATGACAGAGGCCACCTGGTTGCAGGATGAAGTCCCAACTGCGGAGATGGCTCACCCAGTGCCATCTCTTGGCACTGCCCATTCTCCCTCTAGGCACAACCTGGACCATGTCCCTCCAGCATGATGCTCTGTGACACCATGATGCTCACCAACAGGCCCAACACAATGGAGCCAAAGGACCACAGACTGAATCTTCTGAAACCATGAGCTGAAACAAACCTTCCCCCTTTTAGGTCGCTTATGTTATGTATTTTGCAACAAGGATGGAAAGCTGACAAGCACACTTGTTTAGCTTCTACATAAAATGCACAGTGGGAAGGCTGCTTGTCAAGGCATTGCAGCTGAGAGGGCTCCCAGGGAGAAGAGCAAGTATGTTTCCACGGGCCTTGCTTGAGCAGTGGCTACAGCATCTCTCTAGGTCTCTTGTGTGCCTCTGTTCCACTCCTCAAAGGGTCGCCTTAGGTACAACTTGGACCAGCTTAGTATTTTCAGTAAGACTTGATTTGATGTCATTATGACTGACCCTGGGAATTCCCTGCCAGCCCATTGGGTATTAATTTACTCTAGTTTCTCCAACCTTTAATTCCTCCTGCCTTTATAGAGGTAGCACTAATTTAGTGGTTAGGAGGTCTTGAGTTCAAACTCTGAATCTACTATTTTCAGATGACCAGACTTTATTCCCCGAGCTTCACCTTCCTCACCTGTGAAATGGGAGAAGAAATAATGCCTGCTGTGGTGGCATGGCCAAGTTTGTCGTGTGAGCTAAGGCATGAGTGTGAGCCAGCTCTGTCATTGGGGGGGAGTGATACCTGACACACACAGTTAAAGGACAAGGGGTTCAATTTGCTCCTACTTTCTGTTCAGCTGATGCTGGCTACAAGACAGATACATGATGGTGAAGGATGTGGCCCAGCAGAGCTGCTTGGTTCACCACAGCCTTGAAGTACAGCAGGGAAAGGGAATTAGAGTGGAAGGTGAAGAAGTAGACATAGACCCCGGTGTATGCCTCAGGGCTCACCCAGACACCTGTAGAAGTGTACTCCACTGATGTGCACCATGCACCCCAAGGCCAATTAAGTTGAAACTCTCTTTCAAACCCCCCCATTTCACCCCTTTTCAACTTGCTAGCCAAACCTACACCTAAATCTAAATACTTTCCTTTAATGGTACCGAAGTAAAGACAGTGAGCCCACAATTCACTAAAATAATACAACTATCCAGCATACAATCCTTTGCCCAGTGTCTCAACAATTCCAGGCTTTTCTTTTCTTTTCTTTTTTTTTTTTTGACTATTACAAAAGTTTATTTAACAAAAATTTAATATATGAAAATGTGTATGACCCAATCTTCAGTCAGTGAAAGTAGCACTTGGAGGAGGAGCATGAATTTTTCTGCTCAGCAGTCATTATTTAAACTCGTTCCAAGGCTTCCAACATGATGATACTATTTCCTCGTATTACCACCATTCCAATGTTGTTCTGTTGCCCACTAGTTGCCATCTCCACACATTCATCTATCACAAGATTCATGAAGGGATCAAATCCTCCCAATATTCCTTGGACATGTCTGCCACCATTCAATTTCAATGATAACTTCTTGTCCATAAATTTTTTCAGCTCGGGAGGGTGAGCTTTGCTCATCTTGTCTAGTCGATGGGCTCAGGGAGCCTTTGAAAGGAATCTACAACCTCCGTCTAATTCCAGGCTTTTCAAAAGCCCAAGTCTGTTCTAAGGCTGAAGGCAAACCCTTGGCTGGGAACCTCTATAAAAATAAAAACAAGAACTACCTAATTGTGAGGTACAATGTCTCAGGGAAAACATTTGTATCCTAAAAGGGAGGACTAGGAGGATAGAAAAGAATGAGCCCAAAGCAAGACTGAACATCAGCAAGGCAGACATTAAGTTCTGTAGTTCCACGTCCAGAATTCAGGGTACAGAGTGCAAGAAGTGAGCTCGAAAGGTCTTGGAGGTAGCTTCACCTCTATGGTTTTGCTGGTTGGACCCCACACAGCCTCCCCTTCTGGCTGGTTCTATTCATGGCCTGAGACTTTCCTCAGCAGAACCCCCACCCCCAGGTCCTGGCATCCTTGACTTCCTGATGTCTCTGCCACACTGTTGGCTTCACTTCCACAGTCTCCTTCACAGCCCACTCAGGAGCTCCTTAGCTGGCTTTTCAGGTGTTCCTCTGAAATTTAGGTCTAAGCCTCGCTGGCTGTATAACTCTTGTTTTCCAAATGCCAGTAAAACCAGCATCATGTGGATGACATCAAAGTCGCTGTCAGCAGAAGTAGCCGACAGCTCTCCGTGGACCATAGCTGTGTCAGCCTCCAAGTGCCTAGATGTCTGGGCACAGCGAAATGAATCCTGGGGAAACAGTCCCTCATGAGGTGCTATTCTCAGAATAAAGGGTGACAGCTTTTGTACTCTTGATCCTTCAAAGACTAAAGTCTCGCTAATTCTTGATATGCCCCTTAGGCGTCTTTCTTCCTGTCCCTATAAAAAGTACTTGCTTTCTTTTCAGTGATGCTAATCTTCCCAGCAGGCTCGCCTCCTTTGGCCTCAACGTGGTTCTATTTGGGTCCTTAATTTTTTTCTAATTGTTCTGTTTTGTCCTTCATCTCTAGTGTTCACTGTAAATCTGGTTCAAAGCAACCAGCAGTACCCATGACATAGTGTGAATGTTAGGCTGTCTTTACCAGATGAGTTAGTCTACTGCCCTCAATCTCAGTCTCCTATAAAATCACAGGAGATGGGTTAGAGGTATTCAAATTTTTAGCCACAGTGGAACACGCATTGGCTCCAGTCCAGCTGCCAATGAAGTCCTGGTTCCTACCTTAAACTTCCCGTGCATGGCCTTTACTCTCTGCATTTCTGCAGCATTCTGGTCTTCCAACGTCTGACCAGAACCTCCCAGAAGTCTCTGTTTGGAACATTCAAAGGCTTCTCTTGCTATAATCTTCAAACCTTTCCAGCTTCCTCTTGCAAACCAGTTTCAAGGTTTTCTAAACCACATGGTTAGGTATAGTCTCAGTAACAACCCTATTTCCTTGGTACCAGTTTTCTGTATTACCTTTTTTTTTGGTTTCTACGATGCAATGGCTAATGCCCACAATATAAAGGAAGGAGATTTTTTTTTCTTTTTTTCTTTTTTTCTTACAAAACCAGGAATTGAACTTGCCAGGGAAGCACCTATTCTACAGAGCCATCTCCTCGGCCCCAGAAGGAGCTATCTAATGTGGTCACAACTTCAGCCCACAATTGGCTGGCTCCTCGACATTAGGGCAGAAGGAAACAGCAGAGGACAGTTGCTTAGTACAGGGCAGGAGCCAGGAGGGCGGAGTCCAGAGTGGGAGGG